TTCTGCCCGGAGGAGCAAGCGTCCTCCTCTCTCTGCTTCTCCCCCTTCCCCATCGCGCCGAGTTGAGAGTTCCTTCTCGCTCTGCGCTTCTTTGGTGCTTTCGTGACCCTCCCCCCGGAGCGACGGCCAAAAAAAAACAACAGCCGCCCATGAGGGCAGCTGTTGTTTTTTTGGCCGTCGCTACCACGCGCAAGAAGAATGTCCCGCATCTGGGGCAACGTGCTTTGCATGTGGCCGCACGGGCCACCTAGCCAACGCCTGTCGAATTTGTCCAAGGGACGATCATGGCCGGCACCAGCCGGTGTAGGTCTCAAGCGTCTGTCCCGCTCTTTCATGTCTGCCTCGTCGAGCTCCTGGCAGGAGATGGTGCCGGTTCTGTGGCAACCGCCAGCACCCGAGGCGGTTCTGACCGGCCTCGCGGGTCTGTTAGTTTTATATATGGCAAGCCAGGACATTTTAGAAGAGTATACGAAAGTCGACCTCGGTGCCCACGATTCAACCATGGAAGGCGTAGCAACCGTTCCACCCACGGTGAATTAGCTATTGGAGGCATCCCGAAGAGACCTTATTAGAGCCCTGTGTGCCGTAGCTAATGGGTCTGGGCTGGATGACGGTTCCATCTGGAAAAGCTGCAAAGCTGACGCACACAGCGCATCGTCCATCAATGGCCAAAGCAGCACAGTTCCAGGAAGACCCCTTTCCTTGATGCAAACTTTTCCCGCTGCGGAGGCAGCTTTTGCTGCAGTTGCTGCTGCAGCTCTGCCAGCTCTTCCGGATCCGGTGGCTTCCGGTCCGGCCAGCCCGGCACCACGATTCCAGGGCAAGAGGACCAGGTTTCGGAGAGTCCTCCTAGAGCTGAGAGTCCTGTTCCTGCTCCTGACAGTCCTCCTTAAGCTGGGAGTCCTGTTCCGGTTCTCAAGAGTCCTCCTGCGGTTGAAGGTACTATCCCTGTTCCCGAGGGTCGTCCTGGAGCTGAGGCTCTTGTGCCCGAACATGAAGGTGCTTTGGCAGCCGAGTAGTTCCCGTTGCCTGGGATGTCGGCAGATGGCAGCTGGACATCCAGCCGCACAGAGTCTGCGACTGAGGGTTCTGGGTCCTCGCCCAGCACCATGTTCGACAGTGCTGAAGGGGCAGTGAGAATGTCGCCACCTGTGCAAGGGTCGTCAATGCCACCCGTCACATCTTCCCCCAGATCGGAGTCTCCAAAGACTCGGGGTGCAGACACTGCAACTCCCCTGCACGAAGGTCGTCCACGTCGGTCTCGGAGGCTACCAGAACGTTTTAAGGACTGTTTAGTGTATTTGTGCGGTAGCAGCCCAACTTTCGGAAACGTAAAGGTTATACGATACAAACTACTCGACTCCTAACATAATGACAGTACAATTTTTTATTCATTGTATTTACTTGCATCTATCGCCCTATCGCAATGATTTTGCTCAATGTTCCTCAATGGTTTTACCCAAGGATTTTTTTTATTTTTGCTCAATGTGTTTCCTCAAATGTTTTGTATTGCCCAATGTTTTCTTTCCCAATGTTTTGGCCTTACAAGGTCCCGTATGTCTTAGCGTTCCATTTATTTGTCACTTTGTGTACTAATAAGTTAGAAGACATTGTTGAGAGTGTTGTCTTCAGTATTTTTTTTTTTTCTTATACAGTGATGTGATTGGCCTAAGCCGTTTTGGAGCACCTTTCGGAGCAGCCAAAACAGTGTTTTGGAGCAGCAAAAGTGGCTTTCGGAGCAGATATTCTTTGAAAAATAAAAATATGCGTTTTAGGTGCTGGACAAACGAAGGCCACTATGCTCGCCGAAATAAACGAATTATGGTCAAGTTCGACACCTAGTAGTTTTTCAAGATGTAACTGAAATGTCTATGACATGACACATTTTGCAATGCTTCAGTTAAATGATACATATATATGTACCCACTATAGATAGATAAGAACCAAACCTCACATATTCAAATTTATTTGAAAACCAAACTTCACATATCAAAATTTATTTGAAAATGACCAGCTTAGTAGTAAATATCACATTAGGTTGACTATTGATATAAAATAATAAATGGAAGCAGTCCCCGACTGATGAAACACATAGCTAGTGCAGTGCAATGCGAAATTGCACACAAGAAAAATGTGCATTGCAACAATAAAGTACTGTTTGCTTTTCAAAACTTTCTGCAAAGGCTTTGGCTTAGGCTAGTAATGAATGTCCACTTTCAATGTCTCCCGCTTTGGCTTAGGCTAGTAAAGAATATCCACTTTCAATGTCTCCAAAGAGACATTGGGACATCCCAAAAGTGTACAGTGCTGTAGGCGTTGCCGAGAAATTCTGAAAAACCGCTTGCCACCGTTTTTCTGATTCCCGACGTGCCAGATTTTCGTCAAATGTAAACGTGAAACAGTGGATTGCAAGCGTCCAGGCTGGTGCCTCTGTCGTGCAATCATGTTCGCGTGCACGTCAGGGCAACTTCGGCAGGCTTGCAGCTGCAGGTGCTTCGTCGCGCGAGCAGAGACGGCTGTTCGATCGAAACCGAAATCATGTCTCTCCGCTCCGTCGCCAACTGGTTTCCAAAAATGTATGTAAAGTGTAACTGCTCAGCATGCGACAAAAAACAGTTCAGCGGCGCGTGCTTGCAAGGCCGGCAGGCGAGGTCCAAGCTAAACATACAGAAAAAAAGAACCTGAGCGCATCGACGCGGGACAAATCAGGGTCAAAACGTTCTTGGAGCGCTTTGTGCAACGATTGAACTCAAGACAAACAAGCGCGCTGTGCGGGTTCAGCGTGCAGACATTACCTTCTTTACTTTAGCTCACTTCTCTTCACCAACTTTCTTGCGTGACAGATTTTTCATGTACCGGGGTCCCTCTCGAAAAAAAGCCAACCAAGAGAAACCTAGGTAATCTATACTTGCACCCAGCAGTCTTCGAGTTAAAAAATTGATTTTTGTAGTAGCGTATGTTTTATACAAGAACAGAAATGTTGATGAACATGCGCCATCCTTATGTTTCAGTTTAGGAAGCTCCATATCCGTAGCGACGCGCGGACTGGCCAGGCAGGGTCCAAATACAATTTTCCCACGGCCGTTGCTTTCAGAAGCGAGTGCTTCAAGCTCAAAAACTTCCGCCGCGCAAAAACGTAATTTCGTTTCACAGTGTGACGGCATGGCTGGTACCCAGCACGTTAGCGTCGGAGCGTCCGCACACGCCCGCATGTATCGTTGCAAAAAAAAAAAAAAAAAAATACACGCGAGACGAGATTTACGAGACGACGAGAGCGCGAAAGAAGAGACGGCGGGAAAACCCATGCGAGACCGGATGGACGATTGATGTAACTAAAGCAAGGGTGCAGGCGAGCTGGTTCAATGCTGACATTGGAGTTTTGTGCCTGTCCTACGTCCCTTCTTTTCCCCGGCTCCAGGGTTACAATGTCACGATTGATGCAGGGTACTTTGTGTCGGGTGGCCGCTTGCGCCACCTAGCTCACGCAGGCTCAATTACGGTATTCAGTTTAGTTTCGGTTTTGAAAGGCGACCAAAACTGGTTCTTTGGCGCAGGCTTGGCGCAGATTACCCATATTTTGGCAAAATGTAGCAGGATGTAGCAGGGTTAGCCCCTTGGCGCAGTTTGGCGCAATTGGCGCAGCAATCACATCACTGCTTATAGAATACTTGCTTAACTGATGACGTTCAGCTCCTCTTCCCTGCACATGTTTTTTTAAGGAAGGGAAGAGTATGTTTTTTTAGGAAGGGAAAGAGTATGTTGAATATGTTTAAGAAAGGGAAAGTGTAGTGTTTCACTTTTCGTTATCTACACATACCTAGATGGCGCCACTGCCCCACCAGTGTGCCACTAACCCCAAAATGCAAGCTCTGTGCCTTTTCTTTTTTGTATGAACAGTTTGGTTTTATTTTTCAACCCGTATGTATGTCCTTCCTTGTCGGCGTTGGCGCGCTAGGTTCGCGCTTTGCCTTCTGCCGCCGCCTTCAGAATATAAGCTCTTTGCTTCTCGCAGGACCACTGGGCCCTCTCTTCTTGTGGGGTTTTCTTTATAAATTACTACAGGGCGGAGGGTGGGCTGTATAGCAAAGACTTTTTTAGGAGCTGGCAGAGCCCACCGGTAGCTGAGAGTCCAAGTGCAATGGGAAGGGTGGAAGGAAGCCTCGCAGAAGGAAAAAGCAGCAGCTCAATATAGGATTTATAAACTTGCAGGTAGGGCGGAAATGGAATGAAGTGGGAAGAGACTGCGGAACAATTAAATAATGCAGATTTTGTAGTGAATGAATTGGCAGAGACGCATCTTAGAGATATGGAAGGACCAGCCTATTTTGCAGGTTATTTTTGGGTGGGATGTAATCAATAAGAAGGGGAATGGAAAGGAGGTGCATTGCGGGTGCTAGTGGAAGGACGGGGCTGGGAAAGGGTAAGGGAAAGCTACAGAGAACAAGTGTGGTTAAAAGGTAATATTGGAGGTTTAGACATGCTCATAGGATTTGCACATCTGAAAACAGGAAGACGTCAGAGATTTGCTTGCTTCCGAAAACACGGCAAAGAATCCCTGAGGAAGACGTCGGGGATTCTTTGCTGAATCCCCGATGTCTTCCTCAGGGATTCAGCAAAGAGTGAATCCCTGACATCACTTTCTCATTGTTGCCAATAGAGACTTGCTTCAGAAAACACGGTGAAGAACAAAATTGTGAATGGAATAACTTCGCAAAATAAATTACCTATTTTGGCCCAATACTTGGGTTACGATTTCAGCAAAGTTTGTTGGTCTGTTTAGCATATTTTCAGGCAAATCGTTACAATTCTAATATCTAATAACTTGCAATTGAGATAAGTATGTTCTTAAATATTTCGGCAAAACGAAACCCACCCGTTAGCTTCACATTCTTGGTAAATTAGTGTTGTATGTAAAGCTGATTTTCAGTTTTTCTACAGTGAGTTAGATCCATCTAGCATCTAACCCACACAATGGTGAGTGAAAACGATGTAAAACCTTCCTATATATGTTTTTCTTTTTACTTTATGACATATGTAATGTATCCAGGGTGTCAGCCGAGGCAGTACTGGTAGGTCTGGTCTTGGAGAGTAATGGCCACGAGCAGTTCACGCCGCCTCCTCGCATCTCTCCTGCAGTCCAGCTTTCCCGTAATCTTTTCACCTGTAAGATAGACACTTTCAATCTGTCAATCAATCAATCAATCAACCAACCAACCAATCACTTGTGCAACTGATAAAGAAGTGACAAGAAACATCTACACCGTCTAGGATTTACGAGTAGAATGCAATCTAAACCTAATAGTTTACAGCAGCCATATATAAAAATATTTGTCCACAAGCCTAGGCTTTGTAAGTAGAAGAACCTATTGCACTCTTTAATAAGGTATTTTCAGATCTGGTAGTTCTTAAACCTTGTAGGTACTTTTGCTAGTTGACAGAGTGACCATTATGTGTTTATGCTCAATATCATTTGCAAGAGCTGTGTGTAACATGGTACAGTAAAACCTCGTTATAACAAAGTTGAAGGAGCGATCGTAATTATTTCGTTATAACCATTAGTTTGTTATAGCCAATGTCCATTTCTTCCCTATTAGCAAGCAAGGGGAATTATGATTGCTTTGTTATATCCATTAGTTTGTTATATCCCATTTTGTTATAACGAGGTTTTACTGTAGCAGCTAAAGATATGCCTCCCTCTTGTACAGAACCACCCTACAATAATCCTCAAATTAAGTTTAGTAGTAGTATATCTAAACAATAAAAAAAAGATAATTTTAAATGTCCTCTTTCATGCTGAGAAGTGCCCAATTTTTGTGCACCATAATTATTTATATGTAGAGATCAAGGTTCTCCTCACAAAGGGCGGCGGTGGTACTGCCGCCCACCAGTCTGGCTAATGCTATGTATGTCCAGCCCACCTCTATATTTTGCCTCTGCTGGGCGAGATGATGCTGATTTTGGAAATGCACAACACCATACATTACTCTGTTTAAAAGACTTGTGTGGCAATACGCAACAGAACTGCATAGTCAATGCAAACAAAATCACTGCTGTGCGGCAGAGAAAGTGCCTAGAACACCAAAAGTTGCAGCAATCACTCCCTACTCTTCCCCCAAAACCCTGGAAATTGTTAGATGTACACACATCAGAAATTTTTCGAGAGAACCCTGGTCGAAACACTTCCTTAGCAACTGAGTGCAAACACCCAGCAACTTTAGCTTTAAAACTACAATTATACCAGCTGTTCACCACTTTCAGAAGTCGCCAGTTAAGGAGGTTCTAGTACGAGCACACGCTCAAGTGAACACTCAAACAAGGAAACCTCAACCAAGGAAGGAAGCTAGATCCTGCTGGCTCCGTTCAGCTGCAGAGACCAGTATTGAGCTCCCTCAACATCTTTTTTGCGGTTTACCTTTTGCCCCCAAGTTCATTCAGAGAGGCTTCTTCCTGCCATTAGGAAGGAGCTTCTTCATAATGGCGCACACTGTTTCATCCTGGGAATACTGTAACCTTGTTTTCCACCCAATGTCGCCAGTTATTTTGAAAATGATGACCCTAACATCACTAACCTGGCCTAACTGCAATTGGTTGTTCCAGCAGAAATACCGTCTGCTTCCAATGTGTAGGTTTCGCCTGCGGAGAAGTGCTCAGGACGACCTGCAACCAATCATATCACTTGGTTCAAACCTCGAGTACCTAAATACAAAAAACACCGGGCTCGCAAAATGAGGCAACTAAGGACCGAAGAAACTGGAATGCATAACCACTATTCGTGTCAAACATTTGTACAATAAAAAAGAGAAGGCTATTGTCTCCTCACAGCATGCATGCACATACGTACCCACATGCAGAGTGTATACAAATACATACACAGAGTACAGATAAGATACACATATACAGGTAGACTGTACAAAGATATGCATACAAGGTAATACACGAACAGAGACTGTAGTAAGGTGGTGAGCTGGGCAAGCTGGTACTGGTGAACATGATGAAAAAATAGCACACAAAAAGACAAGAACAGGAACAGAACACAGACAAGTGCTAACTCACAACTCAAATGTACTGTACGTTGAAAAGAAGAAAGAAGCAGGAACGTGAAACATGCATGAGGAAAAGGACACTGGTACCAGGGGTGCAGCAAGGACATCAAACACATTCACCAGTCTTAAAAGGATGGAGTGCAAAAGGCTGGAAAAATCACTGGCACAAAGGGTGCGGCTACAACTTCAACTATACAGTCGAACCTCGATATAACGAACTTCAATGTAACGAAATCCTCGATTTAACGAAGTATTTTATTTTTCATAATTTCTTGCCCATAGACCCCATGTATTTTTAGTCTCTATATAACGAAGTCTATTTTGCTGCTATTTCAATATAACGAAGCGCCATTGCCATAGAAGGCAATAAATAAATAGACTCTAAAAAACAACTTCGCAAAAAAAATTGTGGTTAAAAAAAAAGATTATGCGCAAACGCGAGCGCTTTGATAGGTTACTTCACGGGGACAGGCCTTCCAACGTTCCTAGGCTGCCCGAGGATGCGGCGCCGGTAGCGCCGGCGAGGCGTGCGGCAATACGGATTCCGCGGGGCTGGCCAGAAAATGCCGAGCAAAAAGTTTGCACGGCATAACAGCATCACCACTGACATTCACTGATCATCATAGTCCACTGTACCGCGGGTAGCGCGGGAGCCAACTTCAGCAGGGAAGCGACGTGATGGCGCGACCTAGGGTGCGCGCGTTTATCCAGGCACCCTAGCGCGACCGCACGGGCAGTGCCATCCAGGGGAAGACCGAGAAGACCGATTATCGTCTTGCGACCGTGATGTAAAGCAAAGGCGCAAGCACACTGTGGGCGCAAGTAAACTGTGCGGGCAAGAGTGCTGTGTAGGTTGGAAACATTGGCACCGCCTAAACCAAAGTATACAGGCGGCTTTGCCTAAACTAAACAGCTTTATTTTTCAACCGGGCGGTTCACTCACGTGCTTGCGGGCATAAGGAAACGTAAAGTTCTTTCTTTGGATGAGAAAGCAAACGTTTTGGACGCCATCCTGAAGAGACTGCTGAGATCAAGAGCACTCGGGAAGTGCTCGACGCAATGGACGTACTGAGGGGGTAGTGTACACGGCGTCGCATGGGCAGCAAGATACCGTGCAAGCGCTCTGGGCGCTCGAACGCCGTATGACCAGTATGACGCCGCTGCTACTGTCGGACAAGGCGCAAGCAAAACTCGCGGACTACTTTGCCCCAAAATAAATGTCATTTTCGGTGAGTTTTCATACCCGTAAAATGTTTCGGAATATTTTTTTGCATGCTAAAGCCAAATTTCGATTTAGCGAAATTTCAATGTAACGAAGTAAGTTGCGAATTTTACCAACTTCGTTACATCGAGGTTTAACTGTACTTGTTACTCTTTAAAAAAAAAATTTCCTTGTCAGTTAAGGAAACAGAAGGCTGGCTGACACAGCGGTTTCCCAAACTGGAGATAATAAATGCTTCAAATATTCCCCTAGTGTGTTTGTTTCTGCATCGACCTAATATAGTTGTTTGATTTAAGTAAGGTAAACAAGAGCAGGTTGTACAGTGCAATGATGGGTGACCCCCTACCGTAGACTTTGGAGAGAGATTATGCTCTTTAAGTCGATCATTCGAACACCGTCCAGTTTGGCCAATGTAAGATCTACCACAGGAAAGGAGGATGTTGTAAACCACTTCCAATTAATTTTCTCCTGAGCCTTCCGCACGTTCACGTCTACTTCATCCTTTTAAGACTGGTGAGTGTGTTTGATGTCCTTGCTGTGCCCTTGGTGCCAGTGTTCTTTTCCTTGTGCATGCTGGGCGTTTCTGCTGCTTCCTTCTTTTCAACATACAATACATTTGAGTTGTAGCTAGTGCTCGTCTTCTGTGTTCCTTCCTCTCCCTGTCCTCTTTTTTTGCAGACTGTAGGCATGCATAACAGGGTGCTTCAACTAACTTCCATCAAGACTTCAAAAAGTTGGTGCTCGCTACTCATGTTTAACCAATGCAGACTTGAGTATACAAAAAGTATCTCTACTTGAGCAAGTAGAGATACTTTTTGTCCTGTGCCAAAATTGGCTAATTAATGCAGAAAAATTAGCAAACTTTTGCAACATTACCATTCTGCACTAAACCTCCAACAGAAAAGTTTAGAGCATGCTGAGAAATATCCCGTCATGTTGTTTCCATCAAGGTAACCTTCATGTCTAATCCTTTTTTCTAGCTTCAAAAAAAGTGCTCGAGATTTTAAAAAAATTTTTGTGACTACCTGTTAGCGAACTGCAATTTAAGTGCATTTAGTCATGTGGGATTCTTTTAAATCTCGTGCGTGTCCAGTATTGTTGTGGTATTATGCGCAGTGGAATACTCCTCCTCTCAGTCATATCATGGATCAGCATTCAGCTATCTGTGTGGAAATGTTGCGGTTCTTACAGGCACAGGTAACTCAAAGGCACTGTCGAAGTAGCCGGCAAACGCGGTAATCTCGTCCGCCCCTGGCGCCACCTCAAATTCGAAGTCCGATGTGAAGTTGGTGTCTTCCACGTTGCATGTGTTGAGGTCCAGGCTCTAGAAATGGTGACAGGAACATCATGAAATGTCAGCGCATAAACGTCGCCGTAAAGGAGGCAAGGACAAAAAACACGAAAAGTTGACGTCCATTACATCAACCAGACTGGCATATTGCCGCATGCTAACGTGGTCGAGTTGGCAGCGCGCTGGACTCGTGCGCAGGTGGCTCGATTTCGATTCCCGGCACTGCATGTCGTTTTACCTTTCTTTATGTAAGTAGAAGCTTCAAGAAGGTTGGAGAACCGTCTAGCTTGTTCACGGTTAGAATTTATATTTCGAGAAGCATCGAGACAGAATATTCTGGGTTCCCAATGAAGACTTAAAAGAAGCTACGCCGCACAAGTAGGTCTTGCCTCAGTGCTCGGCCCCCGCGGTTATGCCGACTTGCGACGCCACTCTTTCTCTTTTGTTTTCTCAACACAAGTTCGCCACATTAAATGTTTAGTTTCTTTCGTTATTTACCGCCTCATCAATTGTCATTTGTGACAATATTACTGTTCATCCACAGATGAGCTCACATTTCTCTATTGTAGCCAGAGAATTTCGCACACAGAGTATGTTTCGACGCTGAACGGCAAACGCCAACAGTTTTTTCTTCGTACAGCCAACAAAATCCTCATCTCAATAAAAAAAAAAAAAAAAAAAAAAAAACTGGAAGTTTTGGGAAAATATGGTAAGGGTGCAGGCCAGCTGGTGGATATTAACCATGTTGTAGACATGATTACATTGTGTGATGAAGACTGTGTCACTTGAGCTGTATAGACTTCGTCCTTTTGTGTTGGTAGTGATGACCTTGAGATTGAGACTTTACAAGGAGATGGACTAAATAAATGAGTTAGCCGAGTTTGAGACGTCGTCCTGTCTATTTTCTGTCTCTGCTATGTTTTAATGTTTCTCCTTTACCCCAGTCTCAGGTTAGTTCAACAAGGGTTGTTCTTTTTGTCGTACCTTATGATAAAGAAATGCACTACTGGAAATAAAGTAGGAAAAGTGTCAGTCTGCACACAAAAAATAAGCAGTTGTTTTCTTCATGCACTGATTCAGCAATCGCTCTTCACTCCTACCATGCTCCTTCTCTCCCTTACTTTGCTAAAAGGCAAAGGCTACGTTCCCGGTAAGTCAACTAGCGCGTCTGTTGTAGACATGTGACTATACCAGTGATGTGTTAGGTTTGAGTGATTTTGGAACACCTTTTGGAGCAGCCAAATGCCCATTTTGGAGCAGCAAAACCTGCTTTTGGAGCTTAAGCATACATTTAATTTTTGCTAATACCAGCACGAATATCATGTTAAGATTTATCCATTTACGTCTACCTTGCCTTCCTGCTTTTGTGCAACCTTTTGATGCCGTCAAAAGCATGGCAGGTTTCATTCCCTAGCAAGTAATTTAATTGTGCGTAGAAGTACAAGCCACAGTAACAACATGCTGATTGATGAAGGGTGGTAGAATATGGTGTGCATGCTTATTTTAGGTGTGAAATAAAATGTAAACGAAATAGTACAGTGTACTGCAATAATTCTAGAATATAATAACTTCGAGCACCTAATTGATGCTTTCTTCAAGTTCTAGAGGTTGCAAGTAAACTACAGTTCTTAATTCAGATGAAATACAAAGCTTTTGTCATTTGATTATAAACATCAACGACATTTTATAAGCAGAACTTTATAACAAAAACCAGCATGTCAAAGACAAATTTGCTTTATTAAAAAGGAACCCGCCGAACCTGTTTAGGTCATTCCCAGACTTGTATTTACTGCTCCAATTTATTTATATTTATATTTCTGTATTCACTGTGCCATTGCATGGATGTAACTTCTAGAATGTTGCAAAAAGAGCTCTCTGGCCACTGGCCACCGCCATTTTGCGACTCGAGTGAGCCAGATATTTTTTCCACCCGCCTGAACTGTGCATACCCCGTCAGTGCGACTGCCCACCTGCATTGTGCATTCAGAGTTTGCCGGCTTTTCTTGGAAGTTTTTACTTTATTTGACTGTTCAGAATGCTTACCCTCAGTGTGTTATCTGCCACTGTGAGCACCAGGTAATACCAGGGCTCATAGCCTGCTCGGCCTTTGAAGGAAACGAACGAAGAAAGCAAACGTCAAGCAGCCTGTAACGCGGGCCGTTCAACGCTTTTCTAGCATTGTTTCCATTGAGATGATCTCTGAAAAGCCGTCCCGGCCATGTTTCCAGTCTTCGCGAAAAATAGCTGATAGTGTCGGGTCCGGGGTGTGGTGGCGGAAGAGACACATTCATTTATTTGCTTTGGTGCTGTGCGAAAAAGCAGCTGTCTTCAAAACGTGCCCCAAAACAAGCCGTATTCTGTCCTATTGTCGTGAAGCGACTATCGTTAACACCATGAATTGCATATGCTATATTATTTGGGACCTTCCTCAAATCCTGTTCGGATAACGCAGCACTGATGGGTACGTACAATATAGTATGTTGCTCCATTGATGAGACTCATTGAATTTCATGTTGTGAGTGGGGAATATCCATGCAGTTTGACCACACAAATCTTGTGTGGTCAAATATTTTCGACAGTTAAGACCTTTGTAGATTGGCGCAGCTGAGCGTATCATGCCGTAAAATGATCAACATAAAATAAAACAAACATTTCAGTCGCATTTGTTTTGTCATGCACATACTCATTAAAAATAGCTTTCATTTGTTTTTGTTCTCAAAAATAGTACAATGCCTTCCTAAAAACCTAGAGAACTTTTATTCACCATAGAACACAATAAATAATAAAATGGGACAACCCACCACCAGCATCCGGAATGGTGCCTACGCAGGCTGCCACAGCCCACTCACCAGAAAACCCACAGCCCGGCGCAGTCGGGCAACACTGATGTACTCTCAAAAACCAGGGACGCACGCTCTAAATCACTTTGTTTGAAACTGCCACTGAAAAGGTCTATACTATAAAGGCCACAACTAAACGAGAATTGACATAAAAAAATAAACATACACGGCAGTTCATTGAAGTTTTCCTGCAATACTCAAGAATCCTTGACGAATTATGAATGCGAAAAATGATATTGTCAGATTATTGCTACAATATATACTAACTGCAATTTGTTAGTGTTTTTTATGTTGTTTTTTTTTAAGAAGTTGCATGTAATTTTTTTGTTCTTGGGGGTGTGTTTCCTTCAGCACATGATTGTACTACGTCGAAGCAAAATATGCAAAATTGCCACGCCTTCTAGGCGGTGACAAGCACTCAACAATGCTAGCTATCCAGTCAGAACAGACGAGCATGAGAAATATTGTGAAACTTCCAAACACTGTCAATATCTTTTACAGAGATCAGTTTGAATATGATGTTATTTAAGGCGATAAGCAAAAGTTTTGGAAATTCGCACTAGCTTACCATAATAACCCGGTTTCTGTACTCTACCAGTTCAGGTATGCCATTTTTTTGTCAATTTCACAACAACAAAATTTTCGCTACAACAAATTTTTTCTTGCGCACCGTCAGTTTCGTTGTAGCGAAGTTTGACTGTATTCGCTTTAAACTTCACCAATATTTTGTACATGTGCCTGCTTACACATAGGCCTGTGTAGTGGATAGTGTAAAAATTCTGCTTGTTATGAGTAGCTATTCCTATAGCAAATTGCTACTTTGCCTCACATCATATTTAGATGAATTTCTGATAATTCAAACTTCTAATATTTCAAACTAAAGTCTGGCTGTCTAGAGTATAATTTAATGAGAGCTGACTCAAAAAAAAAAAAGTAAACACTTTATTAAAAAAATATATATATAAAAAATGCTATTCAGGGCTAGAACTTGACTGCAGACGGAGAAATAATCACCTTGACCAGGGCTGGCTGGACGGAGCAGACGCTCTCAGAGCCGACCAGCATGATGTGAGCCTCCCTGGCCACTTCCTTTTTGAGGCAGCTCATCTTGAAGCCATACACGTCCCCCCAGAATCCTATGTGGCGCTGGTGCAACGCTGCCAGACAGCAATGATGAATAAGTGAACAGACTCAAGAACAACACAGTCCTATGTCGTATCATCTAAAAAGCCTACATATAAAACATTATGATGCAATTTCGCCTAAAAGTTTATTAAATCGGCCAACGACACATTTATTAAAACGCATACAACGAACCAAGGCTCTGTTAACACATTTATTATCCTGAACTGTTTATACACCTGCTAATTGTATTGCAGCAACTAAGCTCAAATAATTTTAACTCCCAGTGAAAACCAAATGTTTGCGAATTTCGTGAATTGCCTGTATTTGCAAAAACTAGGTCCTGCGAACAATTCCAGTAAAATGTAAACACATTGGCATCTATATTGAGGTCCCACCGCGTCACGAAAATTAGAACCCGCAATTTATTCTAAAACTTCAGCTTTGAACTAAATCGCGAAAAATTGAATATGCAAAAAACAAGTCGTTTACAGTATATATATTTTTTTATGCTAAATATGTTATTAAATGTGTCGAAGTTGAAAACATAAAAATCGACTGTATCAGAACTTAATGCATCAAATGGAAACCAGAAACAGTAAATCCTTTTCGGGTTATTGTTTCCTGTCAACGCTCACTTTCATCAATTTGGTCATACACAAATTAACATTATGTTATTCTCTGACCGTTGCGAGTGTGGCTGTCTTCACTAAAAAGAAATCCACAGCAACCCTTCGCACTCACACAGCGTTTTGAAAATAATTACAATATTTTATATTTAAACTTTCGACGAGTAATTTTTCTTATAATATTTTGCCACCAAGGGGCGAGGCAGAACGGCGCATGCGCGTCGGATCTCCTGCAAGAACGACGGTCGCTTCCCGCAATGCTTGGATAGAAAATGGCGTACCATTTCGATTCACACGATTACCAGCGGCCTCCGCACTTGCCCATGCCCCGTTGTTCGGCAGCACCATGAGTTGTGGAGTGAATTTTACGACAGTGTGAAATGTTAGACATTCTAAAGATTTAGGAACTTCTTGACGAACGTGGGACACGAGCCCTCAATGCAAGAGAGTCCCGCGAGTCGCGGGACGGGTGGTCACCCTATCGGAGTGGCTCTATGGTTACCAAAATCCGCGCAATCTAGCGGGCATCACGCGGTGCGCGGAGGAGCGCAATCATTGCCGCTGTGTGGACACAGCCAACACTGCACGGAACGTCAACAACTGGAAGAACTGTTTTGTTTGCTTCTTACATTTAAAGGCATGGAGCGCGAGAGCAAGAGAGAAAAAAGACAGTGTGGGGTGCCGTCCGCCGCTTTCGTTGATGACGTAGCCGACATCTCCGTACCACGTGATGTACAGTAGTTGGCGCACAGGACCAATGTTGCCTGCCGCATGCAAGGTTTCGATTTCGCCTTGTGATTGTCATTTAAACGAGGTTTGCAAGAGAACTATATAACGTTTTGGCATCGCCCGTAATCCCAAAATTTTCGGAATCAACCAGTGTTGCCCTTTAATGAGGCTACAAAGGATTTTTCCTTTTTCAGGAAGAGAGGGGGGGGGGGGGGGGTGAGAAGGTTGAAGGTTAGGCACCTTTGTTGCAGAGTGCCACGAGAAACAGGTCGCACCGACTGGGCAGGAGGGTACCGCCCGGTTTTAGGTGGTGGTCTCGCGCGTGCAGTACTGTGTCCAGCATCCCTTCAAACAGCAGGAAGTAGCCCATCCACTCTGAGACGATGACGTCCACTCGCTCAACGGGCAGGTCAATGTCCTCCAGGCGACCTTTCAGCAGGGTCACCGTGCCGTGCAGGTCGTTCTCCCTGCCGAGAGGGCGCGCACAGGAGAGCATACACATGGCTGAATCTTCCCACGCAGCCACAAATTCGGACGCAAAGCTTCTACCGGAAAGCTTAATGGACTGCGCCAGGGATTCTCAGTATTGCCTTACACCTCATTTAAAGAGGAACCCTTACTTTGAACATAATTTAAACCGGGACCCTTACCTCACACAAAATTTAAACTGGAACCCTTACCTTACACCTAAATTTTAAAACCTCTCAATTTCAGGCCTTGCGCCTGAAATTGAGAGGTCTGTAGCAGTTACTTGGGATTCCTCTTGCGGATGTTTATTTTTGAGTTAGCACCACATTTTTGCCATTTTTGCACCCTGAATAGATAATGTAAGAAATATATTTAAGCAGTTATAAAAAAACATGCGTGTCACAAAAAAAACTGTTCTTTGAAAATTGTTTTGTGCAATATTTATACTTGTTGCAAGACAAATCTTGCCCCCCCAAGACAAACCAATTCCGAAACATACTCCTATTTTGAGACGCCGACGTCGATATTAGATCACGTTCTGGAGTGGCTGAAATGATTCTTGCAACACAGAGATTAGACCATCAATTTATGTTTTACGGGAAAAGTTATTTTTGCGACGCAAGTGTCCTCACACTTACGCTGTCTGGCAAGTCCCTTCGTGACATTTTAGGGAATGTTAAGCGGTCAACAGGTCATAAAGAGACTAGCCCACACCTGACGATGTCCATGGCCTGGAAGACAATGTCTGACTGGTCGACGCCGATCACCCTGCTGGCCCCACACCGCGCCGCAAACATGGCCAGGATGGCCGTGCCGCAGCCGACGTCCAGTACCACCCGACCCTTGATTGACGTCTCAGCGTTCATCTCCAGCGCTTTACGGTATGCCTCGGTCCTCGGCGCGTCCTGTAGCATCTCCTGGTGGATCCCGTGGTGCGCGTACGACTCAAAGTATGGCGAGTCCTCGTCCGCACGAAGCAACCCCACAGTCGGAAATGCAGTGCCCGGCGCGGCGCCATCTTGCAGGAAGATTTTGGCAGTCTCTCTGCGTGGCAAACAGTGTATTAAAGAAGTTGAAACGTGTCCTGGACAAAATTAATCAAAAATTGTTTTATTTGGATAAACATCTAGGAGGCTGGGGCGAAAGGAGACTCGCATCGCCCTAATAGGCCCTATCCCCCTGTACAAGTCATCAACACAGCAGCGAAAAAAATATTGACACATCATTGAATATAAATTTTAACAGATATAACTAGCTATTTAATATTGAACAAAATAATACATCTATACACATTTACAATTATACACAATAATACACTCTATACAGTGCAATCCACTTATAACGATACCATATAACGATATATTGCTGCAACGATCAGTTTCTTTGAAATCATCAATTTAGCATTGGGTCTATGTAACATAAAAAGGATATAGCGAAAGATAACCCTTGGCACATCGGATACAGCGATAAAAGCAGACGGCCCAGAACATATTTAATATGAAAATGGGTCTGAAAACGAAATAAAATCACCAGAAGGTGCTCCGTGAGCGATGCCGGAATTTCGTATCACCTGGCATTAGTCGGCGAAATTGGACGGGATCATCGCAAATGGACGCGAGCACCGACGGTGACAATTTTGGTAACGTTAGTGACCCCCCTCCAACGTCTACGCAAGGTGCCCTGCTCGTGATCCTGTCGCTGATCGGTTTTGCGCATTCGAAAGGACTGCCGCCAGTGTATGCACAAGTAGTGGATGTGATGCAAACTGCTATCATCAAGCTGCGGCTTCCATGTAAACAAGCAGAGATATCCTATTTCTTTTTAAGCGTGATTAACACCTTGGATTTTGTGTTTATTAAAGGCACCAAGATTCAAATTTAGTTATGTCTCTCAGCTCATCTCTTGCGATATTGGTGAGTAACCTTTTTTGCAGCGGGGGAGCAAGGGAGGGTGATATTTTGGACCTTTTGAAGGGCAGTCCAGATATAATCGGTTAGAACAATCGGATTTTCCGGTTATGTTAATATTGCTATAGGTGGATTGCACTGTATAATATTTCTAATGTGACAGAGTTATTTAAATATTCTATGCTAAAGCTAAGAAATATGTTTTTGAAATGGTTTTAAATGTGTATTGTTTTGGAGCTATGAATCATTGACATTACATCTCAGTTGGTGTTTCATATCAGTGAAATTTGATGAGACATCCTTTGTGTACCATAGTTTGTTCGAACTCCTTAATGGTGGTAATGCATGTGGCATAATGTGCATGCCGTTGTTGCGTTGGTAGAATTATGATATATGCAACGAAGATCTGATCCTACTTTGTGGAACATCCATATCTAATAAATTTGCAGACGTACAGACTCTGCTGCTAATGCACATGCTGCGTGTGTGACAGCACAAGGTCACATAACTCCGACATCACATGGTACCATAATGACAGATGTCACATGCCGTCAGAGTTACATGATGTCGTGTTGACACGTGAACCCCCGACATCAAGGTGCAGCTGTTCCTCGTGCACCCGGTCTCTGAGCATTTGCACTGCCTAGCTCAGTTAGTACAATATCCAGATAATACCCTAGTAACATAAGCGCCCTTAACTGCAATCAAGTTTGACCTCAATCATAGTTCTCTGCGGTTGAGGGGCCCGTGCAATTAGGGTACAATAATTGATTGCAAGTTTCATTCCCGTCGAGGTGCCCCTCTTATGTTCATTTTAAATCGGCCCCGTGGGCTTATATACTTTATATGTGACTTTAAACTTTGCGTAAAATATAACGCTAAAATGCAACTGTTCTTTCATGGATGTGGTTGATAAAACACATCCTGTTTAAACTGCAAACTACCACACAAGCTGTGCTGCAACTGAAAGCGGCAGCTGTTGCCAACGTTACTAGATTACCTCAGTTGTGGAACTCCAGCGGAAGGGGGTACTCCCTTCACTCACTTCAGTCCGCCTCCCATCGTTTGAAGCGCCATCTAGATTTCCGTTTCACAAGTGTGTGTTCTATAGAGCACACCTTGAACGCCATCTAGACGCTGTGCTTCAAGACGTATGTATTCCATAGGGTACACTGCAGTTACCATAGCAGCCGTCTGGCGGATCGAGCGACGGGAGGCAAGTTGTGGTGATTGAGGGGGGTACTGCTCGTGCAAGCCGCATCTATGAGCAGTTCTGTAACTGAGCTACTGTAACAACGTTGGCCGTTACGTTGTTGAGAGGCATGCTTTAGGGGATTTGCTCTTAGTCTACGTGCTTTCCCCTCTATGCCATAATGACCTCCGCCGTACATCAGGCATCTCATTTGCATAAACGTAATGTTTATGCAAATGAAACGTGAACGCCAAAACGCATAACGCAAAACGATCGCAAAATGGCCTTCAATTCATGTTGCCCTACCAGGAGGATGACAAAATTGCGGAGTGTAGAGGGGGCTATGGGAGTGCACGTTTTGGAATGTGCACACCCTCGCAGGACCCCCCCCCCCCCCTCCCCTCCACACCGCTGTTTCAACGCCTCCAGATAGTGCAACAGATATCGAAGGCCATATAGAAAATCTATAAATCAGATTCCAACTGCTCAATCGGGATCACATGGCTTATAAACCGCATCTAAAATACGAGCTGCGAGGATGTAACAAACACGTCGCTAGTCTGCAAGCGTCTCAGCCTGGATGGATGAATGGATGAATATATCGATGCTAAAGGGCTGTCTATACTCCGTCAAAACGTCGACAAGTGCACGCGCGCCCGACCGCATCAGACGACGCCAGCTGCGAACGGTGGTTTATACTCCGTCGTCATGCGCAATGCGACGCGACGTGGCACAGCACAGCCCAGCACGCATCGGCGTAGCTTACGACGGATTAGAGTGTGGTCTATTGGCAACGACGACGAGCGCACATTGACGATGGTGGCTATCCCAGAAGCCTCTGTGCAAGCTTCCCATTCAGAAATTTGGGGCAGGTCATGGTCAGGGCATGTCGGAATGTGCGAGGCACTCATTTCTGTTATTTCCGAAAACTGAGCTTGCCGTTCTTGCCGTGTGTAGTGTGCTGTCCACATGCTTTCGTGTTGGTGTGCTTAATAGTTAACATTCCTGCACATGACTGGGCGAGTGTGTGCATGGATGTGGACTGCTCAGAGAATGCACTACCCCCCGAGTCTCATTAGGCCTATCAATTTAACGAGCCGGTGGCGATGGGCGGTGGTGGTCGGCTGTGGTGGTGGGGTGCCGGCAAAAGCTGGAAGCTCGATGACGCACCAAAGCTAGAGTTAGTTAGAATTAAAGGGGCAGTGCAACGGTTTTAATGTTGAAAGAATTGCCAGTTTGCATTTTTTATATTGTCATACAAGCCCAAGTGACCAAAAACGCGCCACCTTTCCCCAAAAAACATCTATTCTGCTGCGTAATCGCTAGGCAAAAAATGAATAATTTGCCGATCTGCAGCCGCCAGTGGCGGCTGCGGGAACTAGAATGACGGCGTCTCTGGGGGATACGTGGAAGTCAACAAACCCTGTCCCCCTCCGCTGCTACACTCGCCGTCAGCCCCGTGGCGAACCGTCTTTTGTGTCCATCGCTCGCCGCGACCTTCGACGAGGCTAATCCTTTGAAAGTCGACAATCGCGGAGGAAGCGGCTGGGGTCTCTGAAGAGAGGGCCCAAGGGGAAACCACGTGAACCCCCAGAGACGTCACTCGAAAGTCGGCGTGGGGAGTTGAGAGGCACTTCGACCTTCGATTTGTTTCATTTTTTTTAAAATAAGAACTAGCACTCGCAAGTAAATGTGGCTTTCGGTTTTTCGTTCCATAGGTGACGCAGATTAATTTCCACAGTTAATTGGCCAAAGTCTGAAAGTCGTTGCACTGCCCCTTTAAGGATGACCTAATGTGTGTGTACATATGATCATGTGCTATTTGCACACACCAGCAGCCGTTTCCGATCTAAACAGTGCTGTCGAATGTATGGGAACAGCGGCCCCAGTGAAGTGCCTGAACTACTTAGCCAGCCAGAAACTTTTCAACTGAGGTGTCTCAGCTTGTAAATGATAGTTGCGGTACACAATGAAAATAAAACTAAATCCTGTATTGTTTGTTTGGGCTCCGTAAAGTGCACTACAATTTCAAACCCGTGCATTTCTTATTTTAGGTAACGTCCACCCTCTTCGGTTTCAGTTTCTTGAGCCAACGTTAATGTTAATGTCTACTATAATAACATACTGCCAATCTATCAGAAGCTGGTTCTGTGGAATATTGAGTGCATAGATTTCATCGAAGTATGCATCCTGGCGGAATCACCGCAGTTGCTTGACACGACCCCAGCAAACCTGCGAAGCGGCTAGTATCGACGGACCCGATATTGTGAATTTTTGTTTTTCCATTAACATTTGTGCGACATTTTGGAGAAAATTAACGGTTTGCACTCGTTATCCCGCATCATTTGCTTGTTTTTTAACTGCTAACCACTGTACCGAATCGCTGTTTTGAAGCTCGACTACATGACATGGACGAACCAGGAAGCAGAAATAGTGTGCATACAATGCTGTTGCCACGGAGACGCACATGCGCAAAGTGGGGCAGTTTGCTGAGCCCCGCTAGACCGCGCAGGACTGTAAACATGGTCATTCAGCCGCCTCTCGGCGTGGCGTGGCGTAGCGCAGGGGCTGACAAAACATTGGTCTGCACCAGCGTATGCTGCGTTCGTCAACATTGGAGTATAAACAGCCCTTAATGGCTGTACCAGGAAAGCGACAGTGTGCAGCCGTTCTGAGTTCCCACACTGCATATTATGTTCAAGCCAGTGAATCATAAATGTATCTCAAGCCATCTTTGGGAACAAGCTGCAATTTTCTTTGGAGGGCTCACAACCAACGATGAATGCAAGGACATAAAGCGAGGGTAATGTATTGTTGACAAACAAAACATTACCCTTTGACAAACAAACAATACCCTTCGACAAACATTAACAAAACAATGGATTTGTCACGATGTGTTGCAGTAATGTGTGTAATGTATATACTAAAACAATTTCAATATATGC